GGTGTTGTAGTGGGTTACGAATTGGGCTGCTCACTGCAAGAGTCAGATTTTCTTAATTGCTATTTTTTGGATATAAACTTTATATATCAGCATAATATACTATTTATTATCAAAAGGAAATAATTTACATGAATATCATTCCAGTGCATTTTTTTACTCAATATATAACACAATATTTTTGCTTAAAATTGATCTCACACAATTCTAAAAGAAAATTAAAAGCATTTCTGCCTTAAAAATACATTAAAAAAGATGGCACATCCCTCCCCCAGGAGGCAAACAACAGAAACTTGGGTGAATGGAACAGCAGTGTAAGGTAGGAAAATAATAATAATTTATAATTTATCAAGGGGGGAGGGGGAAGGAGGTAAAAAGGAGCTGGTACCACTGGCTCAAATAGAAAGTAAATGTTTAGAAAATGATGATGGCAACATAAGTACAGATATGCTTGATAAAACTAAGTGTTAGAAGGGCTGTTTAAGAGCCCCCAATACAATGATTTAACAAATAAAACAGAGGGTAAAAATAAGGTAAAGAAGTTGGATATAAAATACAAAGAGAGAAATTAATTATATGATTATATGTAAAATGTCTTCCACAGAAATTCATTCAAAAAGATGACTCCATTTTTCTTGTGGCTACCTATGTGGTAAACCAGTGTTTCTCAACCTTCCTAATGTCACGACCCTTTAATACAGATCCTCATGTTGTGGTGACCCCCCACAACCATAAAATTATTTCTGCTGCTACTTCCTAACAGTAATCTTGCTACTGTTATGAATCGGGCAACCCCTGTGAAAGAGTCGTTTGATCACTCCAAAGGGGTTGAGACCCATAGGTTGAGAACCACTGTGTAAGCTAATTATATCAAGATTTAGTCTTTATTTATAGAGACCTTTATTTTTGTCAATGAAGAAAAGATCTAACTTATTCCACAGACGACATATGGGGAATTTTCTAGGATACCAGGGGTATGTGGTATAAGGCTTAGTCTCTATGATTCATCGATACCTTTATTTACGTCAATAAAGAAAATATCTACTTCATCTCACAGAAGACGTGGGAGATTTTCAAGGACACCAGAGGGACGGGGTAGAGTCAACAGATTTGGACTGGTTTCAACTTAAAACTGCCAAGTGTATCACACTGCTCACATCCATTACTTCGTTCTCTTTATATGAGCATCACACGTCCACAGAGGGTTCTGCACGGTGGCTGTCACGCCTGAATTAATACCCTGGGAAGGTACACAGACAGCTGCTATCAAACATGCTTCTACAATCTGTATATCTTATTACATTTACTGTGCATTCATAGGATGGACTTGTTGTGCAATACATATAATATATATGTACATACATTCATTTTTCTACATATGCACATTTGAAATAAACCAAGAAACAGGTGAATTTTCAAATCAACAAAGGGATACATTTTCTAAATATTTTCTTATTAATGATTACTACATTTTGAAATTGAAAGGCGCTGAATTTATTCAGTACTCTATGTTCCTTGTGTGAAATACATCATATCAGAAGGGGTGACCTTCTGTGTATCCTAGGGCTCTAACTCATAAAGCTGACCCTTTGATTGCATTTGCTTAATCTGTTCCATTACTGACATCACATTTCACCCATTACCTGTCCCAGAAAAAAGTGAAGGAGAAACATCTTTCCTTATTGCTAATATATGAAATCTTGTGGTATACCTATAATTTATTTTAAATTATAGGCATTTTCTTCTATCTTTGCATTTAATGTGAGGGGCCCTCAAAAAGTTCACAGAAAAGGATAAAAGGATACTGGAACTTTCCCACGACACCTGAAAATCCCTGTTTACATTCATTCATTGACTTGTTGTTTTGTAGTCTTCTTCTGTGTCTCTTTCTTCTTCTGCCTCGAATCACAGGATATTTAAAAGATAAACCCTCATTCAACAAAGGCCTAGCATGGTTTGTGTGTAGGTAAGTATTTAAAAAGTTTTAGCCTAAAATAGGTTCTGTGGAGAAATATATGCTCAAGCTATTGAGAAAAAGAAACCAAATCATGTTTAGGACCCTTTCATGATCGAGAGAGGCCCGAGGGTGCAGGACGATGGTTGGCCACATATATTCTGCCATCTCCCTATGCCACAGGACCAGGAGCCCAGCCGACACAGCTGGAGTAAACAACCTGGGAACCCCGAGCAGCAGATGGCCACCGTAGAAGAACGAGATCAAACAATAAAGGGAAGGAGAGATTGGGATGCGTGGACGGACAGTGTCGGACCAGTTAGCCTGGCACAGTTGAGACACTTGAGACAGAGTGTGCAGTGCTCCTGGGTGAGTATCATAGGAAGACCTATGGAAAATATTTTGATAGAATGATTTAACGACAGACTATTTCTCTATTGTCATGTAAGATGAGACTGCTTCC